TATTTAGTGCCGAAGTGAGACTTATATGCTCCCTTTCACAAGACCAACCCAACTCATAAACGTAAGCAAGCACAAGGACATAAACGGACCAAATAATCCTTTAGTTTAGATCTTAGCAAAAGCAAATTATACTTAAGAAATAGTTGTGAGTTACTGGAGACAGGCTGGTCTTAGCAACTTTTGTTTTATGTAAAAGCTATCTTAGGTCGATCTCCTCCGAAGAGGAGGCTGTTCTGTCGTAATTATAACAAAAGATTGACAGAGTCCTTCTTTAGTTTCAGTTAACATCAAAATGAATATCATATAAAAGCCAAACGGCTGCAGTACAACGAGATTCATCCGCCCTCAGCTGGTGAGATCGACCAACGAATCTCTTCTTCATTCACTTTCATGCGAACTGAAAGTGCCCCTAACAATATTATCTCAAGAGATTAATCGAAACCCAGTTTCTCTTCATATCTACAGTTAACATCAGTTGAATTTTCTTTTATTCTACTCCTTCGCAGTTCTCTTCTTATAATCACAAAGACCGCAAGTTAATATTAACCCAAGAGGACCAACCAACTCTACTTTGGACGCAATATATGCTCAAAATTACAGCAAAAAAGAACAGAATAAATTGATAGATAAAATAATTGAGTTAGTTTAGATTCTTGTCTTTATAATTAGTTGTTTACTGTCGGACTATTTAATTAGTTTGTAAGAGCGAGAGGAAGTTGATTATAAACCATCTGTAGTTGTTGGATATATAGCTATGTATATAAATAAATGAATATTTCCCCTTCTCTCTTCCTATATATATATATATATATATAGAGAGAGAGAGAGAGAGAGAGAAAGAGAGAGAGAGAGATAAAGAGAGAGAATATGTGGTAAGCTTTCGTCTTCACTTTGACAGACATCATAAGAGCATGACTCCACACTTCACGAAATAGAGCAAAAATATACAAAATCAAGAGAAAAGGTGGCCGGCTGCAACCCTTGTCGCTTATTATACACCTGACATCGCGATCTTAATGGGGCAGACCAAGTTCTGAAGACTTTTTTAAGCTCCTAAGTATAGCGGATAGGTTATAGGACAAAGTTTTTCGACAGGTTAGAAAGACACATGATAAGAAATCAAGAAATTAGGGTATAAAACTGCACTCAAGGAAATGACCCATGCGTAATGAATTGAAGGATAAGGTAATCTACTACCAAGAAATGGTAAATCTGTCCAAAATTTATTTGAACTTTTCTACTGAGGAGGTCCTAGCAAAGGGTTTAAACTTTGCATTTCCAAATGGTAGGGGCTTCAAAGAAGAAAGGTTGATAGAATTGATATGTTAAACGGATAATTCTCCAGCGGACATTGCGAGTGGAATTGAATTACAAGTTGTCCCTTTAATTGATTACAATGTAGAAACACAATATAAGAATATTATAAGGAAGCTTAAGGCGAATGAACAATTAGTATTAGGGGCAGACACAGAAGAAGCAGTAGTAGTTATGACTATGACTAATTATGTAGAGAAAATGTTAGAGACATTAGACGATGCTACAAAATATAAAAGTATAATTAGGGACCAGACAGCGCCTTCTGCAACGGTGCCTTCACAGTGGAGGACTGGAAATGTGGAAGATGAACGCTCTATTCCAGCGTAATGCTAGACCCTAAAACGTGTATGGTCTCCCCAAAATTCATGATCAAGGTAACCCACTTACGATTATTGTAAATAATAGAGGTAGTAGGACGCATACATAATCACGATTTATAGGCACTCATTCAAAACAAATCTCCAAAACTTGGAAGTTTTCAGTGAATAACTCCTACATCTTTATTAAGTTACTTGATGATCAGACGATAGAAAGAGGAGATTTGCTGGCAAGTTTAGCTTTAGTGCCTATGCACACTAACATTCCGATAAACGATGCAATCAGGCATTATAATTAACTATAGAAAAACACCCTAATATTCTAGCAATTAAAAAGTTAGGCAAAGATTCGATCATTAGATTAGTCAATTTGGCAATGTTAATCGAAGGTATGAATATCAAGATGGTGTGGTCTTTTGTGTTGTCGCAGTTTTCTTTTGTTGTATAGAGGTTGTTTGACCTTGTCTTCGCAACATGGTCATATTGGTAGAAAGACTTAGAGGAACGCACCTAGTCCAGAGTCCATTGTATGCATCATCATTTCCAAAGTTGAACCGTGGGAATGTACCACGTCCACGGTTCGACTTAGCAAATGATCATGCAGACAATCGACTCTGGACTAGGTGCGTTCCTCTAAGTCTTTCTACCAATATGACCATGTTGCGAAAACAAGGTCAAAAACTTGGCAATGTTAAGTTGCATGAACAGATAAGTGGCTTAGCTATAGGCTCTTGTTCAGCTCCTATTTTAGCTAATAACTACACAGTCCAATTAGAAGTTGTTATGTCTTAGGTGGCACTCCTAGTTCCCAAGTTATTAGTTCGTTATATGGACGATTACATTGCGGTTTGGCAACACGGCAAAGAG